AGTAAATGTACTGTGATGCCACAGTCATGATACCAGACTCCTTAAACTTTTCTCTGAGAGAAACCCGAGAGCCTAGACGGAATACAGAACGAATCGCTCGTGAATAAGCATTATTTAGGTCGACCTCATCGTCAGTTTCCATCAGGTGCGATGGAGGTCAAAGGATCATAAAAAAAGACTAGCCCAAATTGTGGCTTTTGCGTGTATTGCAAGCCTCTGAAATCAATATAATATACTAAATAACTTTTTATGACCCTTTGAATACTATTCTTCTAGCCCCCAGACGATGACCACTGCAGTCTGGACAGCGTCAGCGTGTCCATGGACTCCGAGGATGAGCCACCCGAGCCAGAACCTATTGAGCCCACCGAGCTAAATGAGCAAATTGAGCCTGATTTGGATGCAAGTGATGACGAGACTAAGAAGTAAGTTGTTTCAAAGAATCAAGCTAGATATAGTGTAGAAGTACGTTTGGGAAAGGGAAAGCCAAATAATCTTTATTTCAGAGGTAAACAAAGGACACTTGAAGTGGTTACGTTGATTAAGAGTCTATGCTATACAGAGTGATAAAAATATTTTTTTCAAATACTTAACAAATAAATAAGTTATGACGTCACAAAGTTTTCCGAAAAATTATAATAATAATAACACCCGATGATTAGCAGACGCCGTTGCTGTAGCAACAAAAACGGTGAGGGGGCAGTGGGCGGAGTCAGCGCGGGAGTTCATGTATTTGACAGACAACAAAGTATGAAACTAATGTCCGATGCGTTACCGCAGGCGCCTAGGCGTCTAGACAATTCGGCGCCGATCGCTCAATTTTATTTGCTATTTTGAGTTAACCACGCGTTAGAAATTATTTGGAAATATTAACACAAAAAAATGGGGATTTTTTTGTTTTATTTAACTAATGTGTGCTTATTACTGAATCTTATGCACAGGAAAAAAAATGGCTAGTGATTTTTTTATCACCCCGTATAGAGTCAAACGGCTTTGGTTATTCCGCATAAGAGTGAAAGTGTTAATCAATAACTTTGGAAAAAATAGTAGTAAAATTGAGGATATTAGTATGCGGTATTAAAACACGATTCCTAAACATTTTCACGATTGAAAAAAAAACTCAAACCTCGAAATTTTACAAGAAAACCGCTGCAATCAATAATTGCTAAACTATGTATATACCAATGATTTTTTTATATCAACTCATTGACTTACAATTATATGGACGTCGGGTCCGCGCTAAAAAGTGCCCGCACTTGTAAGGCGCTAAAATCGTATACAGAGCGCGACACTCCGCTTTAGTCTTCATTTGTTCTACGGACAGCGCGATACTGCGATGACATAACAATTTAAATTTCGAATAGGTTGACTTGGGACATTTTTTTCGTGGTTTTTGTATTAGACCCGTCGTCCATTTATTTGTAAGTCAATGTATCAACTGAAGTAAATATAACATCTATAGTATACGATATATTTTTTCAATGGCTTTAACTTATGTAAATGTAAATAAATAAATTCTGAAATAAGCCTCTCGACCCAAGCAAAATGAACCGTATTAGTATGGGAAAAATTTGAATTCTAGCTGAGGTAGTATCGATTCTTAAACTCTACTGCTCATTCGTAAAAGGCAGATTGGAAAATTTAGGCAGTTAGAATATTTAATAGCAATACAACTCTAGTTTATATTGCAATATTGGTGAAAAGGACAGTAATAGAAAAACGTAGTAAGAAGACTAACTGTTAATTCTCGAGAACGAGGATGGCGAAACATGTTTATTAATCACGGTCAAATCTGGTACTTAAACCTTTTTTATGAGACCAAGTGACGGATCGAACCAGTCGTGCGTCTAGTGGTAAGCGACACGCCTATCTATAGCAGTTGTGGTGCCATTCACAGCTTTAAATCGCAAAGATCCCAGGAGCATTGCCTCTGCGCCCGCCACCTTGAAAGAAAAGTTGACAAGTCCCATGTGTCTGTAATTTCACCAGCACCCTTATCTATTCTTCTTATCGTATCTATGACATACATTATACTATAGTGGCCCAGAACTCAGCCACGCCGACCGCGTCTCTAGAAGCCGCCATTAAATCCTCAAGCGTGCAGGTGTTAGAGTACACAGGGCACTATATCAGGTGGGCCTTCGTTTGAGTGTCACCGCACAAGCAGTCCAGGTTAGAACCATCCGAAAAAACCCACCTGAACAAATTGTCCTTGCTCCGACCAACCTCAGTTCGTTCTTCCAAGAGGAAGACTATCAGAAGGCGGGACAAACGTAGATGGTACTCTTCCGCGCCAAAGGTAAGGCTCATATTACTGCTTGGCGAAAGAAATAGGTCGCAGAACTTCTCTACCCACCTGCATATTGAAGAAAGTTCACACCACCACTCGGCCAGCCTCAATTTTCTCATTAGAGGACATCCGTACTCAGCACCGCGACATGTTATCAATTGAGTTGATGATGATGACATAATACAGGTCAAAGTCAACGAGCACGATAAGCAGCGAGCGAACTGAGCCCATACCGGAATATTCGGCGGCCGAGGAGCGAAACGACCAGCGTTCGTGGCTCACTGTGGCCAATGGGGGAGTCAACCACACTTGTGATATGAAGGTATGTGTTAGCATCAATTTATATATATTTCGTATGAGGTCGTATGGAAAACATTGAGGGAAACACTCTTATCATTAACTGATTGAGTTAGGAATTAAATAAGAAACGTTCATGGATTGATTATTTGGTCTATTCAGCCTTCATTATCAATTCGTTCACTCGGCGATGAAATAACAACATCAGTGGATTGCAATGACATCCTGTATCTAAATTCACAGTAATTAGTTGGGATGCACAAAAGACGGACAAAGTTAAAACGAGTTTGTAACGGTCACTCGACGAATTCACAGAGAGCGGCCGCGGTCGGTTGTTCACTTCCAAGTAACTATGTCAAACATCCGTCTTGATACGCTCCTTATTTTCACATGGATTGGACCAACGATCATTGTGTCATAGGACCACGCCAGATGACTGATTAAAAGCGCCACCCCTCCTGCGACCTCACCTAGTTTGAGTTGTCACACTAACGTGACATTTGTGGACAAAAAAATCATTGTGATCGAGACTGGTTAATGTGATTCGTAGAGGCTTGTTATTATTTCTCTAGTAAATTATTTCTCTGATAATTAGAAAACAACACGTAATAACCTAAGATTTATATAGGGTGCATGTGCAGTACACATGTTACATTTAAGAATCTACCATTTTTGAGTATCTCGGTCGAAACGTTGGCAATGCAAATATCGCGTTGGATGATTTCATGATGGTTCCTGAGCTCATTTAACGTTGTTGCCTTGTTGGCATAAACCAACGATTTAACGTAACTATGACTGCTCATGGTGGTCATGTGAACGAGATCTAATTCCATTCTTAAATGTAACATGTGTACTTCACCTGGAATACATTTCAGCTCGATATCTCAATTTATTGAAATACAAAATTTTTAGGTCCTTATTGGAAAACCCCTTACTATATTTACCTAATATTTAACTGTCATTTACTTCGAACACTAGAATTTTAAACTCTTACTACTAGTTCAGTATTTCCATTTTATATGTAGAAAAAAGTTTTCGATTTGACTGGAGCATGATTGATTAAAAATATATAAAAATGGTAACACTGGTAGTGATGCCAATGAAAAAAATGGATAGATTCAGGCGTTACTTTGCAAGTCCATGTTAATAAAAATGGAAGTAAATTAATCTGCTACTCCGCGAACCCAGTGAAGGTTTTTTTATTTATTTTTTTTATTTATTTTATTGTTTTAAGAAAAAAGTATACATAAATAATGTAAAACACCGTTAAACCCTACTTGGGTTTGTCTCGATGCCATTCATTCCTTGCTACGAACAAACCAATACAAAATATTTAAAAAAAAAAACTTATAAGTAGGTAGACCTCCTCCCGCTCGGACCTCAGTGGAGCACTGACGTGTATTCGGTTGCCCCATACTAATTCAAATTTTTTAAAATAAAACAATAAATTTAGACATTGTTTTTATTTTTATTTGGAGGCATACATTTGTACAACAGTGAAGACGGCAAAGTATTTTGTTATTCGACCCTCCGCATAAAATTAATAAAATAAATAACACAAGCGCAACTATAGTCACAAACCATCACCAAAAATATACCTAAATATAATATGTAACAAAAGGCCAATATTGATAATATGTAAGGTGTGTAATTGGTTGTAATTGAATTGAAGGAGTTAATTTAGCTAAACTAACGAATAATATGGACATTCCCTTGCGATTATTGTATCAAGAAATAATATTGCAGATGCATATACAACGTATATTCTGGAATGTTTAGAAAATAAACAGTAAGAAAAACCAATGAGCAGTGCTATAAGCCTTGCATGTAATCGGGCAGGTGATCGAGCCGTTCAAGCGCGTGCTGTCGCACGGGGGCTACGACGCGAGTGGCGCGGCGCTGATCGTGCTGCGCGCCTGCTTCCTGCCCGACTCGGGCCGGCCGGACTACCGCTACGTCATGGACAACCTGTTTCTGTAAGTTCCAAAATCGATTAATCGACAACATATACATATTTTAATTGGGCGCATTACTTCATATTCTTGTTGGTGATTTTTTTTGCTGTGTAAGTCAAACTTCATAACGTCACTTTCATCTCTTACGGTTTACAAACCCTGCTTCTTTAATTACTTGATTTTTAAAGTTAAAAAACCTAAGTAGGTATAGAGAGAGCTAGACAATACTCTATTAAGTCTAAGCTAATAGTACCAGGGTTTTTATAATAACTTTCTGATGCCATGGTATTGCTCGCAAGTGTATTTTGCGAAAATCGACTAAATAAAAATGAACATTTGTATTTAAAAGCGGTTCTTTATTTTCCAAATTTTAACTGTTTATAAAATATTTTTGTGAAATATAGTTTTATTTTTTTGTAGCATAAATCGGTATGATATCATCAATTATCCCGATTAGTCGATGAATCGATACCCATCCCTAATTTAAAGCTCTGAGTGGCACTGCAACTGTTATGAACAGGAACGCACGCGCGCAAACACAGACACACACAAACGTACGCATGCGCGCACGCACGTGAGGACAGCACATGGTTGTTATTATACTATATTCGTGATGCATTTTACACTGTAATATTGCGAATTTGATAATACGAAATAAATTATTTTATACTATTCTCTGAACTTAAATTTTTCCTTCCAGGTACCTGATATGGTCTCTGGAACGACTGGTGACAGAAGAATACGTACTTATAGTGCTTCACGGCCGCTGCAGCTTGCCGCCGCCGCGATACCTGCACAGGTGCTACCTGCTCGTTGATAGACGGTACGTACCGAACTGTGGCTAGCTGAGGATATCTATCCAATGGCCTTTGGTGAAATTTATGTCTTAGGTTTTGCGTAAAACTCTGAATGGCACTGCAGTTGATATGGCTATGCGTGTCGCTTATCATAAGGCGTGCGACTTGTTTTTCCTATCACTTGGTATTATTTAACTGCCTCCGTGGCAGAACGGTTATCATGCTGCCACGCAGAGATCCCAGGTTCGATTCCCTGGCCGGGAGACATATTTGTATGGCCTACATTTGTTTCTCTCGTGAGTTTGGGTGTAATTTGTGGTTGTCTATTTGTGTGTCCATGGCACCCGCGACACAGGGTTTTCCTAATGCTAATATGTTGAGTGTGTGCGATAAAAAAAATATATAATTGTAACTTTTTATAAGAAAAGACCGACCTCAAAAGTTCGTGGCATTACATCTATTTGCCAAGTTATATTGAAATCAGTTACCGGACTGTGCGTGAAACCGGATTCATCCCCTAGTTTGCTTCCCTTAGACGTGGAGTTTTCTCCAAATTTAAATTGGACTACTACTGAGGTACCTCTTTTCATCAAAATTTATTCACAAATTCCGGAGTAATGACGTAACATACAATACAAAAAAATACAGTTGAATTCAGTTTTATCTGTTAAAACTAAAAATAACCAACGAAAATATCGAAAAATCACAAACTGATGTTGCCAAAAACAAAAATACCCATTAATTTCAAAGATCGAACACATATGGAAGACGGAGTAAAATGACAGTTCATTGTGCAAAAGTGTTGTCCGATGGCGAGCAGATAATGATTGCAATCGATAAATATTCTATCGATTATCGACTGAATGTTGGTCACGCTTATGGAATAAATAGCCGAACTTGTTCCATTAGAATCATCCTCGACCCATTATTCATCCAATTACTGAGCACAGGTTCATTTGAATTGTCAATTTTTGTTAGTATTTAGAATTATGTTTATGAAAAATACAAAGACCAGACATTTTTTCATTTTAATTCAATATAGATAATCAAGTCCGGCTATTCTTGTTAAAATGTATATGAATAAAATTTTCTCTCGATACTAGTACGCCAACTGTCAAAATAAGAATAAAGAAGTCAATAACGCAATTAGTAATCATTAGAACGTCGGAACATTCACAATTGAGTCATTTATTGGCAAAATTTTATCTTTCACAATCTATCGATAAAATTATCGACAACGACTACATAACTATTTAAAATTTTATGAAAAATGGCAACCCTACAAATGTCATTTTACTCCGTTTTCAAAAAAGATAGAGTATAGATCCGAAAAAATAATTTCATTTCCTATGCGTAACAACGGTGAGTCTAAGAATTCGATTAGCGCCATCTAGTTGATTTGTTTGTTGTCACTATAAATTTGTGTAGCTTTGGTAAATTGCACTTCGTCGATGTAAAAAAATTAGTTACAAAAATAGCTATTGGGTACTCGCCGCGACATCTGGTGTACGAATAGGTACTAAATATCCGACTAAGTAGTTTTGTATCGGGATTTGTAGTGCTTTTGAGTTATTTCTCTATGATATTATTTAATTTACAGATTAAGAAAAAGTCTAAAACACCTGTACCTGGTCCATCCGACATTCTGGATAAGATCTGTCGTCTTTCTGTTCAAGCCATTTGTAAGGTAAATATAGTAGATAGTGTCCAGATCTCTGTATTGTTTAAACGGCTGTTTTGCCGTCAGCCCCACCTGAGACACTTATATAAGTTTCTACCATAGGTATTCATGTTCACAAGCATAGTATAGAGACATTCGTAAAACCTGCAATACATGTTCGCCCAGCGTCAGCGAGTGAAGGCCAGTACCTAGTATGTCTGGGTGAATTTCACTTTCCGAATTTCAATGGCACTTTTTGAGTGATTTTTGTAAAACTTTATTTCTTGTAGTTTTAAGGTCTTAAACGTACAAATAAGTTTAAGCAATGTCAATAATTATAAAATCACAGAAATATTTATTTTAAATACAACAAAAAACGATATTTTAGGTCACACGAATGAGATTGCAGTAACACGAATGATTTTCTCATAAACATAAATGAGAAAGACGGCACAGTAATGAGAAATTATTATTACAACACACATTTCATCGTTCACAAAAGAACATTTAACATGTAACAAATATTTTAATATAACTATCAAATCCTTCTCATCCGTGTAAGACCATCATCTATCTATATGTAATTAATAAATAAATCTAAAGAAGTATTTTGTTAATGTCATATAAACTTTGTTGTACATCAATATATCATCATCACCACCATCAACATCATCATCATGATCACCATTATCATCAGCATCGTCACCATCGTCATCACCACCACTATCACCATCTAATTGTTATATTTCAAGTAAATGTTTGGCTTAAAGTAACTATTTGACTTTAAAGCAGACACGAATGAGAGCGACAATAATGATATTTGGATACATTTTTAATTGTCAAGTGTGTAAAATATGCTCGATCGTTATAAAAGTGCATGGATTTTAAACTTCCCTTTGTCTAATTGATGTACAATAAAGTTTATAAAACTATTACTTAATACTTATTTAGATATATTGCTTTACATGAATGAGAACGATTTAGTCACTAGCGCTGAAACTGGTATTTAAGTCGATTTTTTTCTAAAACGGAGATGCACAGGTTACTTCACTGTGTACACTCCAGTCCGACTGGAGCCCCTTCTCACGTGTGCGAAGGGTGAAGGTGAGGCGATACGAACTTTTGTTATTAGGAAGCTTTTAGTTGAATTGACACTAATGATAAGAAACATTGAAACACATTTTGTGTTCCCAAGAAAACATGTTTGTTTATAATAAATTGGAAAGTTACGGTATGTATTCAACGTGTAAGTTATTAGAGTTTATCCTCGATGGGAAATATTGCGAATTCCACGAGTGTTTAATTTTTTTTCTTCTTTTCTTAAAATTAGGTCGACGTGGAACCGGCTCCCATGAATGAGAAATTGCCCACGTTTTTAATTTTTATTTGTTATTGTGACGTAGTAAAGTAGTCTTTTTATGTGTAACACAGACTAAGTAAGCAAGCAATCATATTAAATAAATAATGCTTAGCATTCATGTAATAACATAAAAGTTATTGAAAGGGGTGTCCCTTTACGGTTCTAGTACAGCGTGCAAACCTGCGGACCAGCATGTTGTACCTTACTGCCAACGTCCTGCGCTCCCTGTCAATGTCCATGTCGTCAGACAGACTCTCCATCACCCAGTGCCCTAGCTACTAAAATGCGAGACAGTACGTAGTGGCACACCGCATAACTTGACTGGCGGCACTTCTCTAGGGTATTTACAGTCGGCATTAAAAATGAAAAACTCGCTTTTATTTACATTGTGCCTAAGGCCATGAGTTTTTTCATATTCCTCGCAAATGCTCAGCAGCCTTCTTAAAGCACTGATAGATGGGCACAAATATATGTAGTATATAAAAGGATAATTTAGGTTTTTTTTTGAAATGCGGTAGTACCCCTGGACAGCATCAACTCCCCCAGTTGCTTCCTAGGCCTCCACCGCCCTAGGACTCGTCAGCGCCTACTAGGGGGTGGTAGGTACCACTTTGGGAAACTATGGTGTAGACGGTAGCAGTGGCCATGTACCAATTTGCCTACGCTAGCGTTGGCCTAGGCTCGGCCGACATGTATTGCACTTAAGATCTGCTGACTCCCATATGTAGCTCAGTTGGTAAGAGCGGTAGCCCCGGTGTGGCAACAGACGCTGGTCCGCGTCCTGTCAGATCTAAGGAACTTTTCTCTGTGTTGTTTGATATTGTGTTAATATGTTTCAACGTGAAGGAAAATATTAGTTAACCTATTATAGATGCTATTTAGAAAAAGTCCTCACTTATTGTCTTCCACTTTATTATTCCTTTACCTTAAGCGCCCAGTTACACGAGGAGAAAGTTTCCACGCCTTCATGTACATTAATGGAGAATCTGAATTTTATTTACTAGGCAACAACATCTAAATTCCTCTGAATAATACAACCGCGCGGCCGTCGCGTAGACCAAATTCGTGTCGATTAAATGCGCCCCAACCCGTAACGCGTCCTGGAGACACGCGGATTCTCTTAACGATTTTGGTACTGCAGCGTCCTACAGCCGCATGATGTCTGTAACGCGTAGCTATGTTTTCATCCACCGTTTTTAAAAACAATTAAATTTATAAAAAAGTGTACAAATATTTATAAATAATATTAATCATTGTTTATTTTCAGGCAAAAATCCCATATACAATGTGACTATACAACAAATAATATTGGTAACTTAGAATAATAACGCATAGAAACCTAGTCCGCACACGCTAAGTGAGGCAAATTGAAGTGCTCCCAATGGGCCTACACGAGCGGGCGGGCCGTCAGTGCTCAAGGTCAACTTGCACCGCGAACAGATCAAGAATTTTAGCTAAAAATGACGAAATGTGCGGTAATGAATGTAAAAATACGTCAGACCAACCCAAAATAGATACTAACATCACATTCCACAAGGAGGTAACGCGTTTCAACTTGTATTTTTATATAAATATTCACTAAAACTGAAAATTAACCTACTACTAAAACTAGCCTACATGAATATGATTTTTGCCTCACTTGTGACAGTTCGTTTGGTATGAAACTATCATTCTATGCTTTATTATTTTAAGATTGGTAATAACTAGAATAAAAATATTGGAGTAAAATAAAGATAAAAATAAAGTAATAAGATATGACCCGTACAGGTTCTTCCGTACAGGTACAGGTTCTTCGTCTAACCTATTTCCTGTTTGCGTCGCGGTGGATGGAACGCCAGTACTTAAAATTGGACCAGACATACAGCGTGTCCCAAAATTCAACGATAAGCGGGCGCTGGAGGGTGGACCTGCGCATAACTACTTGAGGAAAAATAAGAAAAAAATTTATATCATTTTTTTTTTTAAATTACGATAAAAAATTGTTATTCTTCGAAAATTTACTCCCTTAATGATATTTTAAATCACCACGACCACAATTTTTAAGATATTTCTGATGTTTTTATTTTAACGGCTACCTAAGTAGTACTGCTGTCTACCACAACTCTTAAAATTCCCAGAATGCCTGCAATTTTACAAAAAAATCCATCAAAATATTTTTTTTCCTTGAAATTTTGAAATATTTCTACCTGCAGCCGACTTTCACTCATCGTTTTGTAAAAAAAAAAGTACGGACACCACTGCGGCAAGTTTTTTTTAAAAATTGACGCAACTAACCAAGATTCCAAAATGGTATAATA